ATTCTCTTCTCCCCATTCCCTCCAATCCCCTAACCCTTGTCAGAACCGAGTCGGGAGTCGCGGCCCTCAGCGGGCTGGGCAGCGCCTGGCGGGAAGAAGGGCGAGCCTTCCTCGGCCCGGGGTGGGCAGAGCCAGAATGGAAGACGTTTGGTCGGCCCCCGGAGCCTCGGGGTCTGCCTGACATCTCTGGGCTTAAATAACCGTGCGCCTTTGTTATTCGTCGGCAGCAAAGTGGTTCGTTACGCCTGATTGGTCTAATTGCTTTGAAATGGGATATATTATCTATAATTATAGAGCTCTAGGAGGAGCCGGCCGGCCTCCGCTTTCATCTTCCCCAAGTGCACCCTCATGTCGCGATCACATTAATTTGGGCCATTTGAAAGGGGGCCCCTCTCTCCCCGCGGATCCAGGCCCCCTCACCCGCTTCCGAACTTAAAGACACAAGGAAGCCCCAGCCTGAGCTAGGGGAAAGAAGCGAGTGGGGGAAGGGCGGGAAGGGGGTAGGAGCGGGGAGTCGGACTTGTCTATTTCTTCCTGGCGCTGGGTGAAATCCACCACACTCGGGCAGTTCCACCGTACAAGTGGGGCCCACTTAAGGCGGAGGAATTAGCAAGGAGGAGAAAACATTTCTCACAAGTAGTTTTTTTTTTCTTTTTTTTTTGACTTCTCCTTAAAGAAGGGCATCTAGACTCTTAAAAGGCTTCAGTTCAGCCCAGGTCCCAGGAAAGCAGAAAGCATGTTGATCTGGATCCGTGCTGTGGATATTTAGCCAGTAGCTGAAGACTCCCTGGAGTTCCCAGCTCTTCAGAGTTTTTCTCTGGGAAGCTGTGAAATCCTCCCGAAGGATACCATCAGTGACTCCCTGACAGTTTCCCAAACCTCTGACTCCCAGCCATTCACTTCCAGGCGACAGAGGCCAAAAGACTGGAAGACGCAGGGTTGGGAGGCCCCCTCCGCAGGTTGGGGGATCCCGAGTTCGTGCTTTCTGTCTATTCGTCAACCCCCACCCCCCCCCCCCCCCCCAACCTCAGGACAAAATACCTCCTCTCTCTCCCCCTCCGCCGCCCTCCTGGAGATTGGTGAATTCCCACCAAAATAAATCGTTCCGGGTAATCGGTTTTCATAGCACATTCATTCTATTAAAGAGGACTGTTTGGGGCTCGCTAATTGCCGGGGGATCCCACTGAGCTGCACATTTTTAAAAATGCACGCGGGATTCCTGGGTCGAGGCCACAAAATGCATTGGAAATGGGGGGAGGGGGCGTAAACAAAAACCCGACGGAGGCGACAACGAATGCCCAAGCGAGGGGCCAGCCTGCAGGCTCTTCAATCCTTGCGGCAAGACCCAGATTGTGATAGCGCTGTTCAAGACGGGATCCCTCTAAAAACTAGTCCTTGCCTAGGAAGGGGGAGTTTAAAAACACCACCCTTCCTCCACCGCCGCACACCCTCCTAAAATAGGCGTTTGGAGGAAAAAGACCAAACCCATCACCATTTAGTGGCCCAGAGAGTGGACGCAGGGCAATCCGTCTTTAGGATCCTGAACGCCGAGGCGCTTTGTTGCGGGACGGAGAGTGCTTTAAGCCTCCCCGGACTGAGGAGGATGGAGCGGAGCGCGCGAGGATGCTAGCCGAGCACCAGTCCCCGAGCTTTATCTGCTGCGGGCCAGCCCTGCCCTTGCCAGGCATGAATTACTGCCCGGCTGCTGCGGCTGCTGCGGCCGCGCGGAGAAATGGGGTAGAAGCGCCTGGGGGTTAGTGCTGGAGGCGAGATAACGCGCGCAGCGCCCCCCCCCCCACGGCCTTGTCAGCTCGAGAAACCCACCAACCGGGAAATCCGGAAAGGCCCAGACAAAAATAAACGCAGAGAATGCTCCCTCTCGCCGCCCCAAAACTTGTGCCTCTCCTCTGGTGGGCACCACAAGCTCGGAGAGACGCATAGACATTTTGTTTCTTTTCTCTAACTCCCTTCCCTGAGACCGCGGGCATCCCTACCCGCGCAGCTAAAGGGCAGCTCGGTGCAAGAGCCGCGCGCTATTCTGAGCACGGACTCCACGTGGAATCTCCTCTGAACCTCTTTCCCTCTTCAGACACAACTCTTCTCGCCTTGCAATGCACGCAGCCGGCCCGCCAGCCGCGCCGGGCGAGAGCAGACGCGAACCCAGGCCGAACCTAAAAAGATACCATGGGGTTCCGGACGGGCTTGGGATGCCTAGGGGCGGGCGGCAGGGCCGGGGGGCTGCGGGCGCAGGCGGTCTGCTCCCAGGAGGCGGGGGCGCGACTTCAAGGGCCCCTGCGCCGGCTGCTGCCTTTGATCGGGCCGCCGCTGGCGCCTAAAAACAACATCCTCGTCTGCCTATTAGGCGCGCTGAGGGATCGTGACAGATTGTTTATCCCCGCAATTAGCGATGCGGCCCTTCTCCCGCCGCCCGGCTGGCCGGCCCCCCGCCCGCGCTGGGCCTGGCTGTGCCGCCGCCAGGGACAGCCCCGAGACCCCTCTGCGTCGCGCGGCTGCACTCTCGGGGTTCGAGCCCCTGCTCTGTCCTCAAGCAGGGGTTCTTAGCTGGCGGGCTCCAAGTGGGTCCAGAGCCCCTGAAGTTGTTTTTACTGATGCGTATTTGTCTAGGGAGGAAGTTCTTAGTTATATCGGGTTCTCAAAGTGATCTGAGAGTCAAACATTTTGAGACGGGAGAGGACGTTGGAATAAAGCAAGCCCCGGTCAGAAAGACAACACTGCTTGCTTCTGACACGAGGACCTAAAGAGCCAAGGGCCCTCGGTTTCCTCTCCCCCTGTAACCCTAGTGCAGAGTGAGACACCGGCTCGGCGGTAGCGTGTTGTTTCAGAGACCGATAAATTAAAAATGCAGGCAATGGAAGTTCGCTGTCCCGGCTGGGCTGCTAGGAGGGGGTTCGGCCTACAGCCTGGCTGAGCATCAGTTCGGTCAGCCCTAAAATGGGTCCTAGGGTCTCCTATCCTTGCACCCTCAGGCGTACCTCCAGGACCTCGGTTTCGCTGCCGGGTGGAAGGACTCTCATTTCGTCCTGCCCCCGCTGCCTCCTCCTGGGGTATGGTGAGATTAAGATGGGCGGGTGGGTGCCCCACGCCTCCAGCTGGGCCCGACGCGCGAGCTAGAGGCCCCAAACCCTGTCCCATGCTTGTGTTGCAGTCTCGGGTGAGTAAGAAATCTGGAGACGTAAATGTCACAAATGCGAGTATCCTGAACCCGCCCCAAGGCCTGCACATATCTCTGGGAGCCTATGGACAGATGTGAGGCTGCGGATCACCGTGGCGTCCGCAGCCCGACCCCTCCCGCCGGACCCCGGACGCCGTCAGGGTAATAAAGTTCCCGCTCTAGCAATTCATTTTCCTTAATCTGGACGCCCCTAATCTACAGCCTTTATTGGGCCCAGTTAAAAGGCGAGGGAATTCGCTGTCCCTCCGCGCTCGGATAATTACCCCTAAATGGCCGCGGCAGCCCCTTGTGTTTCCTGGAGATTAGAACCCCGCAGTCATCAATGGCCGGTCCCGGTGAGCCGCCAATCACCGCCGCTGGCTGCCCCGGAGCCGCCGGCCTGGGCCCCGGGAGAAGAGGCCATAAAGAGGAGGTGCAGAAAACTGCCCAACCCCGACCCGACTTTGCATAGATCTTAAGTCTCCCCACACTTCCAACTCCTTTTCCTCCATTTTTTTTTAAGCAGGAAAAAAAAAAAATCACGTTTCCTCCGAAACTGGCAAAATAGAAGTTCTCAAACCCAGCTACCAAGGATCCATCCCAGGGCCAGTCCTCGTTTCTCCCCTGCCTTCCTCCCGCAGTTGTGCCCCCCCACCCCTGTACCATCCTGGACCCTGAGGCAGGGATGTGTTTTTGTTTCCGCGGACGCTTTGAGGTCACATTAAGGCCAGATCAGTGTTTTGTTGACGTTTCTGCTGCTTTTATTTCAATAAGTTCTATATCAAAAGGACCCGGCGGCTCCTTCCCCCAGTTGGTCGCCGGTATAGGTGTCGTAATCCTCCCGGGAAGTCCACAGCGGGGAAAAGTACACATCATGAATGAAAATCGATTACCGACCCCGGATAATATTAGGTATTCTTATCTTTAGCATCCACAGCGCCCCAGGAGAGGGGCTTCCTTAGGCAAACTTCAGTCCAGCGCTTAGAAAGAGACAAAGGCCCACTTTTACTCCGAGGTAAAGTTTGGAAGATTGAAACAGAGGAAGAAAATAAAAGTGTTTAAGAAAAAGAAATTAACAACCCGTCTTTCTACTAAATAACCAGGCGGAGTTTTTAAACTATAAAAGAAGTACTCATGAAATGACTCATCTCAAATGATCGTGGTACAGAAGAGGGGAGGCAGGTAGCGGAGGGGGACAGAGAAACACACCCAGCAGCTGACTGAAGAAGAAGGTAGGAGAAGCCTTGGTAGAGAGAACCGGGGTAGGAGTACAGAGAAAAGGGAGGCGTGGGAGAGAGGGGTGGGCAGAAGACAAGTCCCCCAGGAACACAGAAAAATAGAGACCGACGGGCATCCGGAAAGAGACAGGCGGCCCAGGCTGGAGCGCCGAAGAAAGTTTCTCCCGCGCCCCCTCCCCTCCTCTGCCCTCCGGGGGTCCGGCCCCGTCCCGGGAGCCCTGCGGCCCAGTGCGCCTCGGGGCCAGTCCGCAGGAGCGCGGCCCAATGGCTTGCGCCGGGCCCGCCCCCTCGCGCGCTCATTGGCCGCCGCTGCGCTGGCCTCGCCTTATTAACAAGTTCTCTGGGGAGCTGCGGCCCGACCCGGAGCCGGCGAGTGCGCCCGGGAACTCGGCCTGCGCGGCGGCGCCAGCGAAGAACCAGGCCCCGAGCGCCGGAGTTGGCCTTGTGGGGAGGGGCGGGAGGCGCGCGCGCGAGGGCCCGCCCGGCCAGGGCCCCGGGCGCTCCCAAAGGCCGGCCGCGCTCCCAGTCCGCCGGAAGCCCATGCCCGGCGACTGGCCCGTGCTGCGGCTGGAGGGGGGGCCCGGCTCTGCATGGCCCCGGCTGCTGACATGACTTCTTTGCCACTCGGTGTCAAAGTGGAGGACTCCGCCTTCGGCAAGCCGGCGGGGGGAGGCGGGGGCCAGGCCCCCAGCGCCACCGCGGCCACGGCGGCCGCCATGGGCGCAGACGAGGAGGGGGCCAAGCCCAAAGTGTCCCCTTCACTCCTGCCCTTCAGCGTGGAGGCGCTCATGGCCGACCACAGGAAGCCCGGGGCCAAGGAGAGCGCCCTGGTGGCCTCCGAGGGCGCACAGGCGGCGGGCGGCTCTGCGCCGCCCCTGGGCGCCCGGCCGGGGTCGCTGGGAGCCCCTGACGCGCCGTCTTCGCCGCGGCCGCTGGGCCATTTCTCGGTGGGAGGACTTCTCAAGCTGCCAGAAGATGCGCTGGTCAAAGCCGAGAGCCCCGAGAAGCCCGAGACGACCCCGTGGATGCAGAACCCCCGCTTCTCCCCGCCCCCGGCCAGTAAGTAGCCAGAACCCAGGCGGCGGGGGAGGGGGCCGGGCGGGGGTGCGGGACCCGAGGGCGCCAGGCCGCGCGCCGGCGCCTGCTTGTCTCCAGCGGCTGCGTACCTGCAGCTGGATACCTGGAGCCGGTGCTGCAGATGGGTTGGCGGGGAGGCCCGGGTTTACTCCACTCCCCAATCGCATCAGCTAAAGGGGTGGAGGCCTGGCTGAAACCCAGCTCTCGGTCCACTTTCGCGGGCTCCTCGCCTTGGCCAGGGGACGCTGCGGGTGGGAGTTAACTTGTAGGACAAGGTGTCTGGGCACCCTCTCCTCCAGCCCTCCTCAGAGGACCCCAAGAATCCCCACTTCCCAGTCTGCCCCCAAAACCCTGTTACTTCGCCGTTATCCCTACGGGTGGGTCCAAGTGGTGCGGACATCTTCCCTGCGCTCAGAGTTTCACTTTCTCGTGGAAGACTGCCCTCACCCCCCGCATTAAAGTATCTCTTTTCCCAGAGGTTCTTAATCTCTTGCAAAATTCCCCCTTCCCCCTTCAAGTTTCAGGCAGATACTTAGTGCTTCTGGTGGATGGGTCATTTAGTGGGAGGGGGCGCTCAGGTTCCAGTGGAGGGGGCGGGGCACCAAGTCAGTTAGTGGGAGGTGCCCCCTCCATTGCGGTGGGAAGCTCCCAAATTCGCCGACTGGGCGCATTGAAGCGGACTCCAGCGGTCAAAGGCGCGTTCGGGGTCGTTCCAAGGCCTCATGGGCCCCCGGCTTCTCTGCCCAGCAAACACGCTCGGAGATATTTCAGGAGCACGGGAAATTCCCAAGTTTTCCTCGTTTCCTCCGATTATTTTGCGCGGCATAATAGCAACCCGAATTCAATGGCGTGATGCTGAGGAATGATTTTTATCTGGGGATTAAACGTCTTTGAAAGGCCAAACCCCTCCCTGGGCCTAATGGCTGGAGAAGGTGGCCCAGGGCTGTGCTGTCGCTACCGAAGGGAGTGACGTTTTCCTCGGCGTCCGCCCCTCGGGCCGCCGGGCGGAAAGCGAGTCGGGGGCCAACTGCTTCCCGGACTCTCAATGGCCTGGAGCAGGGAGGGGGGGGATGTTAACACGAGGTTTCGTTTGACTCATATCCTGGTGGTCTGTGAGCCCAAAGGATCATTAAAACACACACACACACACACACACACACACACACACACAATGAAAAAATGCATGCTTAGGCAAAACCCGCATGGTGAAACATTCTGGACTTGAATTCATTTTTCCCAAGGGAAGAAGCTGCTGGGTAGGGAAAGCGGCCTTTCCAGGACTTGGGAGTTCGGTTAGGGCCTCCACCCAGACCCCAAAGTCCTTGTGGTGCCCGTTGTCCTGGAAGGAATTTGTTCTACGTTTTATCCGGCCACGGCTGCCCTGTGTGGCAGGGGTTGACTGGCCCAGAGGACTCAGTCTCAGATCTGCGGGGGGAGCCCTCTGTCGAGGTGCTTGCTCACCACCCATCCTTGAAGTATATTTTGAAGCCGTAAGAAAAAGCTTGGCACCTTTGATCTCTGCGAACCCAGACACAGATGGAGAAGTGATTGCAGCGCGCCCCCCACTCCCATTTGTGTGTGTCCAGAGGGCCAAGGCGCTGGGGGTGGGAGAGACCCAAGACACAATTGAGACAATCAGAAGTACCCCCCACACACACACACTGGCACTTCATATATTTGAGATATGGCCGTGGTGCCACCTCCCTGACCGCCTGACAGCCGGCTTTTCTCCACCTCTGGGTCCCCAGGGACGGCCCTCAGAACCCTGTAGGAACATGCTGTTCCAAGGGAAAGAGTGGAATTTGGAGATCTGGGTTGGATGCCACGCAACGGCCTAGCCTAGCGCTGAATGCTTGGTGGGCACGGATAAATGTTTAGCCAATTCATGAAACTAGATGTGATCTTGGGTTGGGTGCAGGGCCTTTTGCGCGTGTTCCATCAACCTTATTAACACCTACCCTTCGGACACCGGCGGCGGTGGGAGGAAGCCCGCCGCGGAAGGCCCTCGTGAGCAGCCACCTAGCATGAAGGCATTCCGCCTCTTCCCAGTTAAATTCGGGCCTTGAACCTGCGCCTGTTTCACCTGGAATCTTTGTTTCCTCATTTGCAAGAAGTAGACAGGAACGTCTACCCCGCGGGGTGTGGCCACTGGAGAAAACCTTTTCCGAGTGTCTCTCCCAGTGCCTGGCACCGAGATGCTCCACGAAAAGGAATAGCTGGTATTGTTATTGACCACTCTTACTACTTTGTGGGCAGATTACACTCCCGCGCCGCTCTCTTAACCCCCTGCCTTTTTCTCGGCCCCCTAGGGCGGCTGAGCCCCCCGGCCTGCACCCTTCGCAAGCACAAGACCAACCGGAAGCCGAGGACGCCCTTCACCACCGCTCAGCTGCTGGCGCTGGAGCGCAAGTTCCGCCAGAAGCAGTACCTGTCCATCGCCGAGCGCGCCGAGTTCTCCAGCTCGCTCAGCCTCACCGAGACGCAGGTGAAGATCTGGTTCCAGAACCGCCGCGCCAAGGCCAAGAGACTGCAGGAGGCAGAGCTGGAAAAGCTGAAGATGGCCGCCAAGCCCATGCTGCCGCCGGCTGCCTTTGGCCTCTCCTTCCCGCTCGGGGGCCCCGCGGCGGTAGCGGCCGCGGCGGGCGCCTCGCTCTACGGGGCCTCTGGCCCCTTCCAGCGCGCCGCGCTGCCGGTGGCGCCCGTGGGACTCTACACAGCCCATGTGGGCTACAGCATGTACCACCTGACATAGAGGGCCCCAGGGTCGCCTCCCTGTGGTACCAGCTGATTCCTCCAGCCCCGGTCTCCTGCGAGCGGCAGGTGCCATCCCCCCCCCCAACGAGCTCCCTTGTTCGGCACCGCCCGCCTCCTTCCCCTTTAACCCCCACGCTGCTCCGGTTGATCCTCGGCTGCTCCCTGCGTTCGCTCTCCAATGTCTGATCCCCTCCCCCAAAAGTGGCTGGAAGGGGCCCTTAACAATCTTCTAGAATCTAGATCTACCCTTTGTGTTACAGATGGAGAAACTTAGAGAGGTGTAGACTTCCCAGCGGTCCCCAGCAAAGTTAGTGGTCGGACCGGCACTAGGCGGCTGCGTCCTGTCCTGACACCAGGCAGGAGACGCACAGAGAAACTCCCGTGTGAAGATTTTGGAAAATAAGAACAGGTGGAGAAAAAGAGAAGGGCATGCCCGGGGGGGATGGAAACCCCCGTCCTTCCAGCGGAAAACGTCAGAGAACTTCAACTGCACAACGTCTGCTTTCGGTGGGGGGAAGGGGGTGACACAGACGCGTTGCCAAGGTAGGTTGAAGGGACCTCTCTCACCAGTACCAGAAAAAAACTGTAAAATAAAATTTAAAACTCCTGTTTCTATTTAACAGTACATTTGTGTGACTCTCAAGAATCCCTTTGGAAGGGATTTTGTGTAATATACTGTATATTTGAAATTTTATTATCATTTATATTATAGCTATATTTGTTAAATAAATTAATTTTAAGCTACAAGAAACGATCTCTTTATTGATTTAGGCTTTTATTTGGATTTTACTTCTTGCCTTCTGTTCACATATGCAATTGCTTTTCAGCATGATGGTAGTTTTACACCAGCACCTTTCAAAGGTGACAACAGGATATTCAGGGACAGAAGGGGGGTGTCCTTTTGAACACGCAGGACAGATCTGCATTAGCAAAGTCAAGTGGAGAATTGAAGCAATTACCTAGGATAATTAGGCTCAATTTTCCAATTCACTTTAAGCTGAAATCGACACTTGCTCAGGCGACCCATAACCGACTCTTTCTTTTTTCTTCCCTTTTAACCTGTCTATGAAAACAAAGCGAATCACCCAAATGGTTTGATGACTGCAGACAGCTAATCCAGACAATTCCCACCCCCGCAAACCTGTTTTTCCCACAGGAGGCCAGGTGGGGGGTGGAGGCCATTGCTTTGCTTCTCTAAATCGCTGCGCTGGTGGAGACCCGGCTTGTGGATCTAATTTTGAGCTGCCAGAATGTGAACGCCTTCACACTCCCTATTACGACCCTTAAAAACAAAACACTTTACTGAAAACCCAAGGCGACAGTACACTTCCCACCTTGGCGTGTCCTTTGCATGAGCCCCTGCCTCCAAACACTCACAAACTTGTTTTTTCTTTTATATAGTAGGTTAGATTCAGGCTTCCAGGAGAATATATTTGAACGAGCGCCAAGCTTAGCCTTCTGGGGGGAATTCTGCAAGGATGTTGATGGCAGAAAATGACCTTGTAGTAAACAGAGCCTACTATGTTCCAGACACCGCTCTGTTCCGTTTCGAGTTGGGGGCCCTGGCTTAATTCTCACGAGATCTGCATGCCCTCCCCTCCCCCGGGCCCTGCCTCAGTCCCACATTGGCCCGCACCTCCAAACTCCACGCAGGACAGCCCCAGGCAGCTTTTGCCCCAAGCCGTTAACCCTGGAAGCCAGCAGGCCAAGGGTTGTTAGAAACTCCAAGGACCTGGCGTTGGACTTGGGGAGGGTCGACGTCTCCACAGCTAGAGGCCGTGGTGCGGGGTGGAAAACGAGTCTGGGGCACATGGAGCGGTTTCTAGCCCCAGGGGCCGGAGCTCTGCCTAGGAATTCCAAGAGAGCGCAGGGCTGCGCGCACGCACTCTGGGCGGGCTCTGAGCTGGCGCCGGGCAAGTTCCAGGGTACCCCGGGTCTCCGATCCTACAATCTCGATTGCTCCGGCAAACGTTCTGTCCCGGAGGCCGGGGCTGAAGTCCCAACATGTCACAACTCCCCTCCTTAAGAAAAGAAAGCAAGCTTGCTGTAGAGTGCAGTTCCGCCGCTCCAGACAGACAGACTTCGGGATTCCCAGAAGCGCGGTCAGAACCCGAATCTGGGCCTCTTCGTCCCCAAGAGAGAGGAGTTAGACCTAAAAAGGTCTTAGACTCAGGTAGTGCTTTAAAGGCGCTTGAGGGCTGAGGTATATCGCTGCGTCTCGCAGACGCAGAAAGGAGTTGTCGTCTCCTCTCTATAAACTAAGCAACCCGACAGTGACGGAGCGCAGGACACTGGCTCCTACAAATTTTTCGGGTTCCTTTCGGGAACACCCCTGGTGATTCTCCTGTCCCGGGGGTAGTATTGAACTTGAAGTCAGACAAGCCGACGGGGTTCATCCCAGCCCTGTCGCTTATTGACTGCCTGACTTTGGGTAGGGAAGATATTCCATTTCTCCGTTCCTCAGTTTTCTCATATGCGAAATGGGTCTGGGAATCCTTCCCCGCTCCCAGGATTTTGGGGAAGTGTCAACGAATCCCCGCGAGAGAGGGCGCCCGGGGAATAGGGGTGGATCTGATTTTTCTCAGTTCATGGTGCGTCCGCAGCCCTGGAGTCTTTTACTCTAGTGCGGGTAGGGGAATGGTGGGGCGGGATCAGGTGTCTCCTCTGGCTCGGACTCCCGGGCCTCCTGGCTCCTCGAAGTTTGGCAATTTAGGGTCGAGGCAAACTTAGAGCAACATAATTGCAGTAATGAGCAACGGCTCGCGCTCTGCAGACGCGCCACGGCTCCAGAGAGGCGGTAGCTGCAGGCAAGGCGGGCGCTCCCCTTCCCCCACGCAGCACCTCTGCCGGGTGGAGGAGGTCGCCGCCCCGGGACCCCCGCTCGAGCCCGCCTCTGCGCGCGCCTCCGCCCGCGTGGCCGGCTTGGGTCCGGGTTTCCTTCCACTCCCGTGCCCCCTGCTTTATCCATTTTTGTTTCTTTTCGTCTAGCTCTTTCTTTCCCCCTTTTTGTTTTCGAATTCCCTTTGTACACAGAAGGTGCCCAATAAATGTTTGCTAGGTCGGAGCGGCTCGCTGGTGTGGGGTGGAGACTGGGGCCAAATTCAGCCAGGCCTGGCGGGAATCGGCGGCGGTCCTCGGGCACCGCTGCTCTCTCAGCCCAGTCCTCCGAACTCAGTTGCTTGTTTATCAAGCGAGGGCAGAGTGGGCAGGGGGTTCCCAGGCCTGGTCCTTTACGGATCTAGTTTCCTCCTTTGGCAGGAAACACCGGATCATTCACTTCGAGTCACCACCTATGGCGCCCAGAGGAATTCCCGGGCAAACCGCCTCCCCCGCGCCTCCCAAGAACCTCATGGGATTTTTAAAAATTTATTATTTATTTATTTATTTATTTATTTATTTATTTATTTATTTATTTATTTATTTATTTAACAAGAGAGTGTGTGGCGGTCCAGAGAGGTTATTTGATTTCCCAGGGTCACACAGCCCATTAGGGGGAAAGCAGGGATTCGAACACAGATTACACGCCGGTGTCCACGCTTTCCCCCACTGCCCAGTCCTCTCGTTGAGGGTCACCTAGTGCCTGAACGGCTCTTTGGTTTTAGAAAAGGCCCACGAAGCGCGCGCATCGCTGGAAAACCGGCCCCGGGGAGCCCAGCCAGCCCTAGCTCCACGAATTTAACCCCTTCGTGCTCTGACCACGAGCAAGCCCCGTCCCTCGGGGAACAAAAGGGGCATCTCACCTGCCCTGCAAGCTGTCTCTGAAGGCATTTTCGTTTTGTTGGGGAGGCAAAGGCTTAATCTGCAAACTCAGCTTCTGACCACGTAGGCTGGACCGAGAAGGCCCAAGGTCTGTGGCGTGGAAGCCCGGGTAGGAGAGATTACTTCGCGGCTGGGGCCCTGGGGCACTCTCGCTCCGCGCACGTCCGCGGGGGCTCGGGCGGTCGCCGATCTTCGAGGCTGAGCTGGGGCCGGAGAGCTCGCGTCAAGAGCGCCTTGTGTTAGGGTTCGTTTCTCCGCTCGTTGACCCCGGGCTTGAAGGCCCAGGTCGCGCAGGAGGCCCAGTGGAGATAGTTACTCGGGAGGCGGGGGACCTTAAGTGCGAATCCTACCGGCCGTGAGGCTGGCGGGGTCCCGAACCCAATGATGCCCCCCTTGGTGACCCGCGGCCTGGAGGTGAGCCCGGCCTGCGCCTCGCCTGGAGCCCTCGGGGGCGCAGTGGGAAAGAGCAAGGAGAGGCTGCGGCCGCCTTTCAACTTGGCGGCTGGCGCCGGCCTGGCCGGGCCCCCGGGGCCGTGCGGCCTCCCCGGCTGCGTCCCCGCCCTCCCAGCAGCTCGCACCGCGGCACGGCCGGGACACTCCCCCAGCCCCGACTCGGGCAGCTCCTGGGAAACACCGTCACTGCCCCCCCCCTACCCACGGCCACCAAGTGTCCATTCTCCGAGAGTCCCCGGAGTCCCCATTCCAGACTCTCGGATCTCCTTTCGCTCCACTCGACAGCTTCCACTCCGGTCTCGCGCAGCACCCCTGCTCCAGGCCTATGAGGACCCTCTCATCACACAGGCCTGCCTCCTGCACAGCGCCCTCCCGCGGCCCCGGAGCAGGACGCTGGAGCAGGCTCCCTCCGAGACAGCTATTGTGCTCGCGCATCCTCGTCGCCCTCGCCATCATCGTCGGACACACAACACACCAACCTACACTGCAACACACACATCTGACACACACACAACCTAGCACAATGCAACACATGTTCAACCAGGACGCACACTCAACACACAACCAACCAGCGTGAGCCCGTGCGCGCGCGCGCTCACACACACACACAACCAGCACGCACCACCAACCATATACACCCAGCGCATACACACACAGCCAACAAATTCACACACCCAGACAACACCTCTCAAACAAATGCAATGTGACACATACACGTACAACCAACAGACACCCAACCACACAAAATCAACATATGCCGCACACTGTACACACAAAGCTAACACGCACACACCAACACACACCCAAAACCCACAATCAATACACACATCCCAATAAAAACACAGCTCCAGTTTATAGAGGCAAACATACAATGTCAAGGCACTACCCCTCAACGTCCCTACTGAAGTTCTGCCACCCAGAACCTGGTGACACTGGGAGACACACATAATCTTGATGGGGGAGACCCAGAGATAGACGTTGAAGGGGGGGTAT